TGGGGTGTGTCATGTGTGGACCCACAAATCCTGTTTCAAGTAATGTGCCAAAACTGAATATTTTTGCAGTGTTACACTCTGTCTGAGATTTTATGGTCTCGAATTTTACTCTACGTATGTTTGTTTAGTACTATATGAATGTATATATATATATTCTAATATTCATAGTATATAATTTTTTATACTATCAGATTAAGTCGATTCATAACAAGTAATTCTCTATAACAAACCATCTACGCGCAAAGAATGCAATTATGGCTAGCAGGTTAAGTTGACTTACAAGTTACAATCGATAACTATTCACAATAAGTCAAATATGATAAGCTCATAACCTAAAATATACAGTTATACCTAATAAGTTTAATATTTATCAGATTAAATTTATCTTTTGTTATTGTAAGAAAATTTCTACATATCAGATCATTTAAAAGATAAGTACAAATAATATATTATCACAAGTGTGATTACTAACCGGAAAAATTAGGTCGACCACAAGTTGAAATAGATAGGGTGCAAAAAAAGGGCATTTTACAGAAATCACATACATTTGAGGGCTATTTACATCGATCATATTCCGAAAGTTTCCCCAATTACAAAAATCGCTTTTGGATATATTCCTTGGTTGTCCGATGCATTGCAAATGAGGCATTACTTAATGAAAGGAATGTATCCGAGAGAGGAAATCTGTAAATTTTTTAAATGCTAGGGAATTTTAGAGATTATAATATCTCAAGTTGTGTATTTATGTAATTTTTCAAATATCTTTACACCATCCGTATATTTACGTTAAACATATATCGGTTAAATTACACGTATAATACGTATAACAAATTTCAGTGTGTGTATACATATGATATTAACTTAAATCAAAAAAATAAAAATAAAACAGACAATGAGAGTCTGATCCGCTGAACACTGCATAATAAAACAACACTCCAAAATATATAATTAATAAATAATTTTTTCTTTGAGGCTAATATTAATAAGAATATTAATAAGAATAGGAATATTTGATTTTGCTTTCAATTTGCAGTGGTAAAAGTACTGTTCAGTATCAATCTGATTAGCATATTTTCAGTAGTCCCCTCTCTGTATATATGTTCATTCTTGATCTCTCCTTTTCATATATTAATTGTAATAATAATCATTTTCACAATATATTAAATCATTATTGTGTTGTTTTTATTTTTATAAAAAGGGAAATGCATAAGTACCCCCAGTCTATGCCAAAAATTCCTAAGACACACCTAACCTTTACTAAAGTCCTATTACCCCCGAACTTATTTTATATATAATTTTCTATCCCTTTTCGGTCTATGTGGCACTATCTTGTGGGTCCAACGCGTGTTGACAATTTTTTCAAGGATAGTGCCACGTATGCCGAAAAGGGGTAGAAAATTAATTAAAAAATAAATTAGGGGGGTAATAGGACCTTAGTAAATGTTAGGTGTGTCTCAGGGATTTTGGACATAGGCTAGGGATACTTATGCATTTTCCCCTATAAAAATAATAAATGTTCAAAGGTACATTCTCTCTAGTCTATAGATTGGTCTTGTGAATATTTTGGAGTGTTATAGATAAATATTTTCTTGCATTAAATACTGGAATTATGGAGACTTGAGGAATTAAATGTGTATAATTAATTAAAGAGGATTGAAGGGACGACAAAGTTGTGATCACAGATTTGAATCGTGAAAATAGTTTCTTGCATAAATAATAAAACCGCATACAGTAAATTCTTATGATTTAATTCTTTTTTCGGACTCAGTACTGTAATGTAACATGAGAAACATGAGACTTGCTAGGGTTACATCATTGGATAGTTAATTTGAGTGTCATTAATTTAAAAATCATGATATTTTATTTCTTAATTATGAAAATTAATGAATGTTTTGAAGGATCCATAAAAGGTGTTATTACATAATTTGACAATATATAATCTTTTGAATGCATATAAATGTGTAATTAATTAGAAAGGGGTAAAAATATTACTTATCCCCTATGGCCTATACTATCCTTTTAAAATGACTTTCTAGCCTTGTAAAAATAAAATGTTGTTATATATAAAGAGGTTTCGACTAATATTATTATCGATATAATGACTTATACTATGTCAAGCCAGTTTTTACATTTAGAGTATTTTTGAAAATATACACAATAACAACATACTTATATAATCATATTAGATGAAGTCTGATGAAATTATAATGTACATAAATTTTTTCTTTATTTTAAAAATAAATTGTTTTTTTTTATAAATCGCCGAAACGAAAAATAATCGTTGATAGTAATTTTTTTTTCTCTCACAAAATTCAAAAAATGACCAACAGAGAAAGAGAGATGTGATGAAGTGAGGTTATCAATCTGAAAATGTGTCTCATTCCATAATTTACCTTTTAACCGCCAACGGTAAAAAGTCAGTACACTCTTAAGCCTAGTCTATTTCTATGTTCCATAATATCCTTACAATTTCATCATCACTCCTCTCTTTCTCTTTTTTTCCAGTGTCGGTTCAGTTCGATTTTATGTATTATCAATTTAATTTATTGGTTTTTGGTTATTAATGGTTCGGTTTTCAGTTTATTTTATAAGAAAATGTTCATAAAATAAATATTGATTCCGTACTTCTCTAACAATTTGACACGATACAGTGAGACAAGTACATCACCTGCAAATGCTTTGATATAGTGAAACAAGAAATACAATGAAAAATTGCATCAATAAGAGTAGATGTAGTATGAAAGCTACAATAACATGTTACAACCAAAACATAATATGGAATTTCTGATGTGAAGTAGAAGTACTATGATTGTGTGAAGTGTGTAGACCGTAGTGTAGAGTATTGATATAGTGTGTAGTTATGTTAAATTATTAATATTTATGAAGGATATAGTAGTAACTTACTACTATCTTAAATGGGTTATCGGTTTACCCAATACTAGAAACCAATACCAAAACGATAACCCAATAATTTTAAAACCATTAAAAACCCGTTAACCCAATAGCAATCACCCAATAACATTTCTTTCGGTTCAGTTTATTGGTCGGTTTGGTTATCGCACACCCCTACGTTTTTCCGCTCTTTTATTTCAATTTGTTGGTCTTACTTAACGTTTTAAATAAAATCGCAACTTTTTTGATATATTTTATGTATTTTTAGTTTGATATCATAAGATTAAAGAATCTTCTCTACTTTCTTCAACTCCAGCTATATCAAGTCAAAATGAGACAAATAAATTGAAACATAAACAAAACTTATTTTTATTATATATATATATATATATATATATATATGTCATCACCCCAAATCTTTCTTCCGTATCCATTTTCTGATTTTCATTCATAGCAACATTAAATAAATAATAATATCTTTATAATTATATCTCTCCTCTTTAAATTCCCAAAAAATTTGCTACTTTTTTATGGAAAGATTTTTTCTTCCCTCTCTCTCAAAGTGAAAATAAAAATAAAAATGTTATCTTCATTACAAGGATGTAATGGTTTTTTGCAGCTTGTTGATCATCAGAAGAATGAAAAATCAAATACAACAAAGAAAAGTAAATCAAAAGATGCAGCTGTAACACATGCTGTGGCTGAACGTAAACGTAGAGAAAGAATCAATTCTCATCTTCATACTCTCAAGAAACTCTTTCCTTATCTCCCTAAAGTATGTTTTCTATCATCTTCTCATCATCATGCATCACTCGTACGTTGCTAGTCATAAATTTCGTGAAGGGTGTTCATGGATTTGCATATTTGGTACTTATAGTAATATGTTATATATATAGTATTATTATTTTTCAACGAAGAGTGTTCAACTGATAGATATTGTAGTGTATTCAAATTAGTTAGTAAGTAAATGAATTTTATGTTACTTTGCTTATGGAATAAAATTAGAATTTTGTTGAATAAAAATATGTTGTTCCAGTTTCATGCAGAACAAAAGGGATTATACACAGTGGAGGATCTAGTATTTTAAGGTTGTAGGTGCTCAAGTCAAAAATATAAAAAAAAATAAAAAAAATGTTAAAAGTGAGATTCGAACTCGGATTCAACAACACAAAAAGAACTTTAAGCACCCACCCAAGAGCCAATGGACAAGTGAGATCATTTGGTCATTGGGTGCTTTGTGTTAATTTTATATAAATACCTCTTAATTTCTACTCACATATATATTCCGAAACGAGGTTAATGGGTGCTCGAGCATCCGGAGGACACCATGTGGGTCCGCCCATGACTATACACAAACAACATTGAAACAAAAGTACAAATGCATGCATAACATGAGGGACCATTTATGTCATCCAATGTACTTTCTCAGTCCTAATTTAAGTGTCTTATTTCTTTTTTTTTAAGTCTATTTCAAAAAAGAGAGTCTTGTTTTGTATTTAGTAAGTTTTCAAGTTTGAACATCTTACATGACAAATTTAAGACTACTAAAATTAAAAGATTACACATATCTTTAATTTAAGATCACAAGATTTAAAAGTTTCTATTTGTTTCTTAAACTACATACTATGCTTACTTGAGTCGAGAGTGTATCAAAAACAATATTATCTCTATCTTTATAAGGTAAGGATAAGACCACATACACACCTGACAACGCTGTCCTTCCAAAATTCGGTTGTGGAATTACACTAGGCATATGTTGTTATTTTGTGGTTGCATATGTTGATGTATATTACTACTGTATATAATTATTCCAATGCTCATATTTTTGTATATATGTGTATATCATAAATAATGCAGAAGGACAAGCCAAGAGTGTTAACAGAAGCAGTCACTCAACTAAAGGAACTAAGGAAGAACGTTGCACAACAACTAGAGTTGTCATCTTTATTCATACCTAGTGAAAATGATGTAGTTATTATAAATTATTGTGACAATATTAATGAAGAACGAACCATCAAAGCTACGATTTGTTGTGAGGACAGACCGAGTCTGAACCGGGACTTATCGTCTGCAATTCGATCAGTTCAAGGACGGGTGATCAAGGCAGAGATGGCCACGGTCGGGGGGCGGACCAAGGCGGAGTTGGTGGTGGTGTTGGGCAAGGCAAATGGTGGAGAAAAAGATATTGGACAACTTAAACGGGCTTTAAAGGCCGTTGTGGAAAAAAGGGATTTGGGCTTTGGAAGTAATGTGATGTTGGGCCGAAGATTTGGGTGAAGATAAATGGGCTTTAAAAAGGATCTTAACGACGATGGCTATTATATAGTAGGTGTATATTATGTATATACACTTTTAAGTCTTGGTTAGTGTTTTGTGGAAATATGTGATTTGAAATGTTAACAAGGTTTGTTAGAGTTTGTTTATTTATTTATCATATGTTATGCTTGTACTCACATCATTTAAGGTAATATAATATCTTGGTAACTATGCAAAACAACAAAAAAGTTTGTTTTAGTTCTTCCCCTTGATGACAAATTGACAATATATAAAAAGGAAATGACTTTTAAGAAGGAAATTACTATATTTTCTAATACAAAATTGTATTATATTTTGTACATTTTCTTCTATAAGATGCTATATGTAATTATTTTTGTATATATTATGGTTCCTTGTATTAAAATACAAATAATTAGAATATTGAACAATAAGTCATGAAACTCCATGTTAACCGTTAAAAGAAGAAGAGAGATTTCATTTTGTTCTTTTGATATTTGATCATGATTCAAAGAATATAAATATTGGAAAATTAAGTACATGAGATAATAAGCAAGAAAAATCTCAATATTACCGATCAACTATATAAGTTAGTTTCAAATTTTGCGCTTAATTCCTTATCATTTGCCAAAGTAACAAATTCAAATTACAGATGTTTTTATAATAATATTTCACTATATATAATAATTAAATATATAAAACTCTATTCATTTATACTTGTCACATTTTGTTTCTTCAGAATCAAACTGCATTCACATGAGTGACCACGGTTTTTTCATGTAAAAATAAAAATATTGAGAAAAAAAGAGAGAGAGAGAGAGCGAAGGGGCAAAGAGAAAATCAGAGGAAGAAAAAAATCATAGGTAAAACGTGAGAGTAAACCAAGACAAGTATCAGGAGAAGCCAAAAACTCCATCTCAGCGAAATAGCAACCATGATTTCTCAGTTCTTTGTGCTTTCTCAGAGAGGCGATAGCATCGTCTTCCGCGACTGTGAGTTTTCGTTTTTACTATCATTTTACTATGTATATTGTTTCAGATCTCATTCCGGTACAAACATTATCACCTTCTGATTTTCGCTCCATTGATTCTTCCAATTCGTAGCGCTACGGATTGAAATTTGCTTATTTTTACTTCCTGTGGTTTGAATCAAGTTTCAGTTCGTTGATCTGGATGATACAACTTTAGAACAATTGGTTGTGATCGAATTTGTAGCCAACGAGCTTAAATTAGTTGATCGCTCTGATTTTTAGGGGAATATTAACTGTTCTTTTGGTTTTTAGAGTTATGAACTGTCAAATCCGATGTCATTACATTTTCTCTAGGGCTTAGTGTATTCTGAATTGACCGGATAATTGTGAATTTAGTTTCATGATGTGCTATATAGTGGAGAGTTTGGCAGTTTGTTAAAGTAGCAGGTCAATGGAAACTGAGCTTAATCGAGTTAAGTTATATTTGTCAAATTATAAGATATTTAGCAAATGAAGTTACTGATTAATATATTCGCTATACTTTGAGCTTAAGATGTCAGGTTTATTTATAGCTGGATTCCTGAATAGTATCTTTGTTAGGAGTGAAGTTAGGTGGGAGTGAGGGTGGGGTTGGGGAGTAGGAAAGGGAAGGGAGTTCAAATGTTCCAAAGTGCATGATGGGTGTTTGATTATGTTATTATTTTTGGGTCTTCATTGTTGTGAAGGTAACAATGCCTGTTGAGCAGGGTTTACTGTTTTATTGCTTGTGATGTGTTCATTGGAAAAACTACGAAGCAGTTAACCAGCAGTTACCTTCTTTTCTAAAGGAAAGTTAGGGCATGAGACAAGGAGGTGGTGTTCTGTAACTAAGATAACTGCACACATGAGTTCTTTCTCTATATTCATTTTCGTTGAGATGAACGATTCATGTGGATCATCCATTCACCTTTATCTTTTGGAATCACTGTCCTTAATTTCTCTTTTTTCTCCTCTGCAATAAAAATGAGGCTGAATCTGATGAGTTTCCTTTAACATTTACGTAAAAGCAGATCGGGGTGATGTACTGAAAGGAAGTGCAGAGATCTTCTTCCGGAAAGTAAAGTTTTGGAAAGAAGATGGCGGAGAGGAAGCACCTCCTGTATTTGTAGGTATTCTTTTCTTGTGTAATAGATGCAATTTCCATATTTTTTTGTTGAAAAAAATCGAACAACTTGGAAACTTACCACCACTTCCTTGTCAGTCATTTATATCTGAAAGAAATTTCCAAGTACCAGAGGGTCGTTGCATATTATTCATCTCACTCGATCTTCATTAATAGATGAATTCCCTCTTAAGATTTTTAAGGAGGAGCTTCATTGAACAGTCTACCTAAATAATGTTGTTGAAAGACATTTGACTCCAAGTGCACGCTGAACAGTTCAGAAGTAGTAAGACGAGTGAAGGGAGGTTCTCAATAAACCATTCTAAATCCCATTCTCTAGCATGTCAGGCTTTCCCTGACTCAACCGAAGGACGAAATTCCATTATCCACATCATGTCATGTTAAAGTCCAATTTTTTCTTATGTTTATTGATTAGTTGCAGTCTCAATCTAGTAGAGGTGGGTGAGCATAGTTGAACATAGCATCTTAGGAGAACTTATTTTTATTGCACCTGAAATTGCTAACTTGTCTAGAGGAAGAGAAATTGAATATACTCTTAAAGTTGAGAGAATCACTAAGTATATCACCAGATATGTTCATAATAATTATGTCATTGATGGAAGTCAAGGGAATAATAGGAATGTGTCATGATTGCCGTCCAACAAGTGACTCTCATAAAAAGAAGAAGAAAAGAGGCTATTGTTGAATAATTGGTTTATATGGATCCTTCCTATCCTCTTTTGACATGAATTTTAATGATTTTTTACTTTTGATGAGGACAGTGAATATTGGAACAAGTGATTACTTCATCACAATAAAGAATCCTAATAATTAAATTAACTTTCTTATTTCATGTAGTTTAAAACTACTATGTTATTGATTAGAGCTATTTCCCGGTGATGGTTCTGGTGGTACCTCAATCTCTGTCTGTATTTGATTTCTCTCTCTTTCAACCTTACTTTAAATTGTTCTCTTTAAGGTGAACATGAAGAGAAAAACCTTGTTGCTAATGTCCACAACCATGCAACTTGAAGATTCATGTATGTAAACTGTCCTATGCACCTCAAGGCTCAAGACTATTAAGTGCTATACTTAATAGAAATTTTCTTCTGTTCCCTGTAATCCCCTTGGGATACAATTGCTTGGCAGAACAGAAGGTGTTAATTGTCTTCATCAAGGAGTGTCCTTTTGGGCAAGCTGCTCGTAAATAGCTAATCTCTGATGCTCCGTTCTACTGCAGCCTTTGCAGTCCCACCCTGTCTAATCAACTTTTATCTGTCATGAGTATTTGTCCCTTTTCAATTTTTGCACCTGTATGTCTAAGGTCACCAATAGCTTGCAACACTCTTTACTTTTGTACACACAAGTACAGAGTTGATCAGTTCTAGGCTTCCCACATATGCCAGCTTGAAAAGTTTTCAACTGACAGATAATTTTTAAATGGGATCTGTCAGTGATCATTGTTTTGTTTACTATGCATAACCCTTCTATATGAAGCATTTGGTTTTGCAAACTGCAACTATGGAAAGAGATACTAATAGTGTTCTTTTCTTTGTTTCCTTTTCATGCAGAATGTGGATGGTGTGAACTACTTTCATGTGAAGGTAGTTGGTCTGCTTTTTGTAGCAACATCTAGGACAAATTTGTCGCCTTCTCTAGTGTTGGAGCTTCTCCAGAGGATTGCACGTGTAATCAAAGATTACCTCGGTGTTCTAAATGAAGACTCATTGCGGAAAAATTTTGTGCTCGTGTATGAGCTTCTTGATGAAGTTGTTGTAAGCCACATGCCTTATGCATATTTTCATGATCATGTATAGTCTCTCGGATAGTCTTCAAGGAATCACACCCTCTGCCCATCTATCAGGGGCAATTTGAGTTTCAAAATTGATGCCAATGAATTCAAGTTTTTTATTTCTTGAAAAGTGAAGATTGAACAGTTAAGAACTACTTCATAAAAATCTAATTCCATACAATCGTAGGTTTCAAAATATTATCATAGCACCACAATAATTATTATAAAAGTTCATCCTCAAATTCACACTGTATTGTCATAGATTTTTCTTAACCGTGTAATTTTATCTACAACAATCATATATTTCTACGTAAACCCTTTAAAGTATTGTCTTTTAAATAGTCATTTTATATATTGTCTTTAAAATAGTCATATTTATAGTTTGGCGGTAAATTCACTCTATATTTTATATATTCGACAATATACTCATGCAAATATGACTTGTCTCTGAAACAGTGCAAGTTATGGTTTCCTTCAACTGATTTTTTAATTTTATTTTGGGTACTCTGCAGGGTTTGATTTCTTTGGCTCCATTAGGCATCTCTCAACAACCTTAACCTTATTTTTCCGTTGATTTCCATGAATTATTATGCACTCACAGAAAATCCCGAGTTATCTAGATCATCTTTATAAAGTTGAGATTATATTCTTATGTTTTTCTTTGGTGTTCTCCTTTCTTGACAGGATTTTGGTTATGTGCAAACGACGTCGACAGAAATCTTAAAGTCTTACATATTTAATGAGCCAATTATGATTGATGCTGGCCGCTTGCCACCCCTTGGTCCTGCAGCCATGTTCATGGTATTTTATATTAACTTGGAAGTGTTGCTTTTAAAGGACCAGAACAGATCTTAATGTTCTTCATTTTTCGTTTGATTTACAGTTGATACCTTCGTTTATGCCATTGACTTTGTTAAATGCAGCAAGGATCCAAAAGAATGCCAGGGACAGCAATTACTAAATCTGTTGTGGCAAATGAACCTGGGGGGAGAAAGAGGGAGGAGATTTTCGTGGATATAATTGAAAAAATAAGCATTACTTTCAGCTCAAGTGTGAGTTTTCTGCTTTGATTCTGAAATTTTGATCGTCTTACTTTCCTGTTGCAGCAATATGCTGGGATGAAAAAGTATGTCTTGACTCGCTACATGAAAAGTGAAACTAATAAATACACAGGAAATAAATGTTGAGTGGTTGAAGCAAAACCTCTTTATGCCTTTGGTATTGTTTTCCTATGAGAAGATATTATTAGGGATGGTTAGATTTTTATTTTTGTGAACCAAACATCT